GCATGTTGTTAGGGTGTCTGAGTGTTTTTATCATGTTGCTATGTGGTTGCTAAGGATGTCTGAGTGTTTTAGCATTTTGCTATGTGGTTGCTAAGGGTGTCTGAGTGTTTTTGCATGTTGTTAGGGTGTCTGAGTGTTTTTATCATGTTGCTATGTGGTTGCTAAGGATGTCTGAGTGTTTTAGCATTTTGCTATGTGGTTGCTAAGGATGTCTGAGTGTTTTAGCATTTTGCTATGTGGTTGCTAAGGGTGTCTGAGTGTTTTCGCATGTTGTTAGGGTGTCTGAGTGTTTTTAGCATGTTGCTATGTGGGTGTCTGAGTGTTTTAGCATGTTGCTATGTGGTTGCTAGGGTGTCTGAGTGTTTTGTTGCAACAGTGTCTGTGTGTTTTAGTATGTCGCTATGCAGTTGCTAAGGTGCTGTGAGGAAGTGAATAAAAATATCACATCTCTCCTCACTGAGTCACATGATTTGAGGTGTCATTCAAGTCTACAGCACAAATGGAACATAACGAGTTAATGTAATCATTAATTAGTGCCTTGCCCAGACCACAAACCCTTAGTATATGTAACAGTAACTGTGACACTTGATGCAACAAACACCGCTAAAAAGATGTTACATAATGCAGAAATGTAAGTGTCAATAGCTGAGAGTTTAAATAGCAGCTGATCAGCTCTTACCTGTAATGTATAATTAGCTTTCTCATTTATCAGATGGTTGATCAATTTGGCCGTGTGCTGAAAATGGACTTTCTCTGTGTGAACAGAAAGACATTTTACACAGTGTCAGTTAAACAAATGAAAGAAAAGCATGTGTTTAAGAAATAAAGAAGTTAAGCACAAGAAGCTTTGTTGAAATCAAGGGTTACCGTCCGCCGTCGGGTGAATTAGCATGAGTTTTTTGTCCCTCAGTTGCTCCATGTGGTCTGTTAAGCATGCCATCTGAAAATAATACAAGCCAAAACCATATGTAAGAGAGAGTGCTGGGGAGATGACTTACAAATTGTAGTCTGTTACTGGTTACATGTTAAAATTTGTAGTCAGTAGTTTAATCGAGATTACTCATTTTAGGTAATGTATTCTGACTACTTTTGGATTACTTTTAGATTACATTTGACATGACTTGTTTATAGATTTAAATGGGATTATTGTTATTAAAAAAAGAGAAAAAAATGTATGACCACTAACCAACATCAGAAGTTGCAAATGTGTTGTTAAATTATAGAAATATTAACTTTAAATCTCAGTAAATATTTAGGTCAAAGTGGTTTGACTGACAAAAAGCTTGGGAATTCCTGTATCACATGAACAAAAAATTTAAAAGAGAAAAAAATAATTAGTCCGAATAAATAAATTATGAATAATGTACTGCCATTGTGTGAATCATTTGTAATCATGTAATCCATAAAAAGTAACTGTAATCTAATTACAAGTACTTAATTTTTTTATCTGATTACGTAATCCAGATTACTTGTAATCAGTTACTACCTGTTAAATCTGGTAACAGATTTATTTGACCTGACCCTCAACCATCTTATGTTGTGTGCATTACCTCGTATCCTCTCTTACTGGACTGCGGTGATCCTAAATAGCGTTCAGAAAATGCAGAAGCTGCAGGACAGATGATCATCAGTAACACTGAAATTAATCCATTCATTTTATTCGAATAAATGAAGGCATGTGTGATCAAACACTGGATATGACATCATACCGTATAAAGAGAAATCAGTGATGGGGGAGATGACGGTGCCACACTTGATTTTGAATTGAAACATATTTGTATTTTCATCTGAGCGTAATAGTCGGCTGGCCAGATATCCTCCATATGCCTGAACAGACAAAACAGGTTATTAGTGATGAGTGAACATAAATGATGCTGAATGATACAATCATGCATCACATGGTACAGTTTCATCAAGAGAGAATTTTGAGAAGATTAATATGAATCCAACAATACAGACTTCTTGAAGCCAACATGAAATCAAAACTGATTCTTAAGATTTAATATGTGTTCTTGCTTTTGAGTTTTGAACGAGTCATCAGTGCATGTTATTACAAATACACAAAATGTCTTTATAATCACTCATCAAAATTGAATAACAATCGCTTTCTGGGCAGGGTTATTATAGTAAACAAAAACTATCTTTGTTCATTCTTAGCTAAAATAAAATATAAATGTAAATAAAAAAGTTGAAGCACTAAAATTACTAACCTTAAAATTTTTTTAAATTAAATAAAACTTAAATAAAGGGGTCATCGGATGCCCATTTTCCACATGTTGATATGATTCTTTATGGTCTTAATGAAAAGTCTGTAACATAGTTTGGTTAAAATTTCTCAATGGTAGTGTAAAAAACACCTTTTTACCCTGTCAAAAACAGCTCTTTTCAGAGCAAGCCGTTTTGTAGCATTTTCCTTTAAATGTTAATGAGCTCTGCTGACCCCGCCCCTCTCTTCCGAGCCGCTCTCAGAGAGACTGTTTACTTCAGCCGCATTCATCGTGAAACTTGCTATTTAGCACATTATTAGGAAAGGCGATTTGCAAAGATTCATTACAAAACATTATACTCACTTCTTCTGTAGGTGAAGCTGGATCACGAATGATTCGCGCAAACATAGACGCATTTATGTAGATCGGGGGCGCATTCCTTTCAGAAACAAACATAATCCACTGCGAGTTCAGAGGCTCAGATGTCGGGAGTAAATGACGACTGCTGAGTTCATTATTACATCCAACAACATAACATCTCAATGCTCAGGAGTCATTCTTGTCTACATCTGCTCCGGCGGTGAAACAATGGCGGACTGATGACAGTCACTCAGTGCGGGTCTAAGGTAAGACACCAGTCCAGTCTGTGCTGAAATACTCACTTCTTCTGTAGGTGAAGCTGGATCACGAATGATTCGCGCAAACATAGACGCATTTATGTAGATCGGGGGCGCATTCCTTTCAGAAACAAACATAATCCACTGCGAGTTCAGAGGCTCAGATGTCGGGAGTAAATGACGACTGCTATGTTCATTATTACATCCAACAACATAACATCTCAATGCTTAGGAGTCATTCTTGTCTACATCTGCTCCGGCGGTGAAACAATGGCGGACTGATGACAGTCACTCAGTGCGGGTCTAAGGTAAGACACCAGTCCAGTCTGTGCTGAAACGCTACTGTCAATCAAACTGTCGTGGGAGGGGCCTGTCTGTGTGACGTCACACAGACAGGCATCTGGGATCGGCTCGATTTGAGAAAGGGGTAAAGATTTTAGTAGAAAAAAAAAACTGTGAATTTTATCATTATAGGGTGTTTGTGTACACACACTGCTAACACACATTTCAGTTCAAACAACTTGTAAATGTGCTTGTAGCATCGGATGACCCCTTTAAATAAAAATAAATTAAACCTAAATAGTAATATTAAAATATAAATATGATGAAAACACATCACAGAATTACCAAAAATTTAAATGAATTAAAACGGAAAATATAAAATTAAAAGCTAATTCAAAATATTAATACAAATTATAAAAGTATATAAATAAAAGTAAAATGCATAGGCCTAATGTAAAGCGTTTTGTCATGCTACCTCATTACTTGTTGGAAAAAATCACACTACTAGGTAAGCAACTCAGCTATTCTCACACTACTCAAACATGTCACTCATTTCCTAAGTCACCAAACACCAAGGCACCGAACCCCTAACTGCTCCCCGGGCACCGCAGCATAAAAAAATGGCTGCCCACTGCTCCGGGTGTGTGTTCACTGCTGTGTGTGTGCGCTTTGGATGGATAAATGCAGAGCACTAATTCCGAGTATGGGTCACCATACTTGGCCACATGTCACTTCACTTCACTTCACTTCAAACTCACCTTTCCAGAAACTCCAACTCTTGAGCTGTCAATGTATGGCAGCTGTGAGATAATTCTGCAGTGAATCATAGAAAAGATGTAAGCGTGAAGTAAAGTGTTCTCTCAGCACTGATGCTGCTGTAGTTTTAGTGTTGTTCATGTAGATGGTCTGACCTAAGAGCTTCCAGCTGGTCTCTCTCCTCAAACTCCCCCAGTTTCTTCTTGATGCGGTGGAGGAGGTTTGTGCCCTGAAAGCCACTGCCGCGGCCGTCCAGACGCATGACTATGGTGTTGAAGGAGCTGACCAGCACCGTGGTCCAGTCCACCTGGAACTGCTCCGTCACCATCTGACCACCAGGGGTGCCGTCCCTACCAGAGCAAAGCAAACGTGTCGGAACCATCCGATCAAATGCCTCAAAACAACGTCACGTTTTGATACCTTGTACTTAGAACCCACTGGGTGAATGATACGATGAAATATCCGGGTCACAAAAAAAAGAAAATTATGTAATAAATAAATAATAAACACTAAGAAAATAAACACATTAGCACAGCTTTAATGTTAGTACAGGTTTTAGTCCGGTCTTTGCTGGACTAATCCGCTGTGGGGATCATGTATCAGTTATTCTGTGTGTGTGTGTGTGTGTGTGTGTGTGAGTGACTTACACCAGCAGCAGTAAGGGGTAGTGAGCTGTCTCTGTAAACCCCGCTGGCTTCACAATCTGCATGTTCAGACCTGTGCAAATGATGGGAAAGTTACTGTGCTGTGACGATCCTCAGCTTTGCGAAAACAGACTCGGGGAGTTTGATGTAAGATACTCACAGTAGTCATCTATGCTGATCTTTTTGTACTCTACTTTGGGCATCTGCGTGTTGTTCACAGTGGTGTTCAACTGCTTATTGAGCTCCACATCCAGCAGCTCTGAGTGAATCACATACAGAAGATGGTCAGAGAAATATATTTGTCTACTATAAAATATACACTATTTTGGGATCAGCAAGATCTTTTCGTGATTTTGAAAGTTTCTTCTGCTCACCAAAGCTGCATTTATTTACAGTAAAAACCAATACTGTGAAATATTTATTTTATAGCAAGCGAGTCTGTTTTGTCCCGCTTCCTCTTTTCCCCCAAGAGGCCGCTGATAATCACTGCTAATTATGCTAAACACAGCTTATTGTGAAATATTATTATTTTTCTATTTTAATATGATTTAAAATGTAATTTATTCTTGTGATGACAAAGCTGAATTTTCAGCATCATTACGCCAGTCTTTAGTGTCACATGATCCTTCAGATATCAATAATAATGAAACATTTCTTATTTTTTATCAATGTTGAATCAAACATTTATCAGTGTTTTTATTGTTTGCTGAATAGAACGGCGAGAAAAAAGAATGAAAAGAACAGCATTTTTTAAATAGAAATATTTTGTATTTTTGATCAATTTAATGCATCCTTGCTGAATAAAAGTATAAAAAATCTATTATAACAAATTATTCTGACTGTAATTACTGATTAGATCAAAACTGCACTATAAAAATATATATTTTGAGATTTTTATTTTGTTTTATTTTTTTGTAGACATAACTAATTTTTTTATACATTTTCCAGACAACAAGGAAATTTAAGTTCATTGGCCCTCAACTAAGCTGAAAGTTCAACTCAAAAACACATATGTGACCCTGCAGCACAAAAGCAGTGTTAAGCCGCTGGGGGATATTTGTAGCAATAGCCAACAATACATTGTATATGGGTCAAAATTATTGATTTTTCTTTTATGCCAAAAATCATTAGGATATTAAGTAAAGGTCATGTTCCATGAAGATATTTTGTTAATTTCCTACTGTAAATATATCATTAGTAATATGCATTGCTAAGGACTTCATTTGGACAACTCTAAAGGCGATTTTCTCAATATTTGGATTGTTTTGTACCCTCAGATTCCAGATTTTCAAATAGTTGTATCTCGACCAAATATTGTCCTATCCTAACAAACCATACAATCTGAAAACCTGTAATCTGAAAAGTTGACTAAACAAATAGTTTTTACAGTGTGGTTTTGGGTTTTTCAGGAATTCATCAATGCACTCAAACCCCATTTAGGATCACTAAACATGGAATAATTATACAGCACCTAAAATGGATCTTCTTTACTATCAATGCATGGTTTGATCCACACAACAGGTGGGAAGCATCAGCTACACAAGAACTGATCTTTCTCTGCTGAGGTCTGGGGAAGCATCATGCTGCAAGGACCATAAGGCTCTGTTCTGACTTCATCTAATTAAAAACACAAACACTGACCTTTCCTTGTGCCCAACAGACCCTGCTAAACAGATCAGTGACCATGGCAGCCATGCTTTATTGCTGGTAAAACACTCAGCAGGGTAATGATGTCATGACTAACAGACTGGGATCAGCCAGAGTCACTGAGCCAAACTCGGCAGTGAGCGGTTACATCAAGAGAAAAAATACAATTATTGAAACACTGACTTTGTATTCCATATTGTTTCTGGTCTAATAGTACTTAATGCCTGTTATTGGGGAATTCTCTATTTCAATTATCTAAAATGTGAACTATTCAATTAGCATATGAGATATATAAAACTAGCAATGTAGCAATGTAGAAGATTGGTTTCTTAAGACAACAGTCTATTATACAACATCTGACCGCAGAATGCAGCAACTGACCAATCAGAATCAATTATTCTAGAGAAACTATGTAATAGAGTACATTAGTACCAATCCACTTTTTCAGCGTTGTTGGTTCTGGAAGTATTTTCTCCTTTCATTTATACCATATAAGGATTTTTTTTAAGTGTTGTAAGCCATGAAACAAACCAACCAGCTACAAGGAGAATCACAACATTACAAACATTTACTTGTCGGACTTATCGGACTGTGTACTTAACGATTTTGGTGATGGAAAGTACAATCCCATAAAGGATTGTGAATGACATTAATCAAATTAAAAACAATGGAGAAATATAAATCTTTTAAAGTTGTTGGTTGTATCTATAGAAATATACTTTCTGTATAGCATCATGGGTAATGTAGTTTTTCACTATTAAACAATTCATTTAAAAATAAGTTGAATAAAGACGAACAGACAAGTTCAACAAAGCCACATACAATCGATTAACAACCTTGGAGCTCACAACAGGTCTGTCTTTAAAGGTTTATCAGTTATTGTTAAAACTCAGTTTCCCTATGGAGAGTTTGGACCTCTGGAACCGGACAACATTTGGGTTCCAAAGTAAATTTCACATTCATTTTCTCCAAAGGGAAGCTAAGCTCTCAAACTACATGGTTTTTAATTCAACTATGTCATTTAAAATGCTTCATGGGATTCTGGTTCTTTTCCTCAAAGCCGTTAAGTACACAACTCAGTCTTTTTGTCCAATTTTTTTGCTTCAAATCTAAGTTTGCAGTGCTTTGATTCAGCTTGTAGCTGGTTGGTTTGGTTCATGGCTTGTAACTCGTTTAACACGACCTTTTTAAAATCCCTATGGGAAAAATAAAACAGCATTAGTAAAAAAATACTTCCGGATCCAAGGCTGTTTAAAAATGTGTTTTTCCGTATTGTACTTTATAGGTACAAGACAAGTTATTTACAGTTGTTTTGCATTGAAAAAGCATTAAACCTTTGCAGTTGAGAAGGAAGTAGTTAGTATCTGGACTGAATGATCCGCTGATGTATCCACAGCTTAAATTACAGGAAAGACAGCGGCGGTTGAAGGATCCTGTGGTGTTGGCGCTAAAAAAACAACACATCATCAGTGCAATGCTTCCAAATACATCACTGTGTGTGTGTGTGTGTGTGTGTGTGTGTGTGTCATACCTGTAGAGTTGACGCCGTCTTGCATCATCTTCTGTACTCAGAAAGTATCTGCAAAGACATTGCTGTTTCAGATATCCATTGTAATGTTTCGAAAGGTAATGGCATATTGCTTTATTTTAGGTATATTTCTGACAGTTTTATTGACAATATGGATAGAGTCAAGCATCTGGGTCTTTTGAATGCTGCTGATCACACATGCTTACACAAGTTTGGTGTCCTCGTTGTAGGCTAAAATCTGCGTCACGTCCCAGTCTCCTGACGTCAGCGACTGTAGCGTGTCTGTGCTGCTGTTGGGCTGAAAGAGACGCCAAAAGGAAGTCACTCCATACCTTTAACATGCTCTTAAAGGGATAGTTCACCCAAAAATGAAAATTTGTTGTTTATATACTGAACCTCAGGTTAACCAAGATGTAGGTGACTTTTTTTCTTAGTAAAGCAGTAAAGAAGATTTTAGCCAAGTCAATGGCTACCGTCACTTTGAGAGTCAAAAAAACTTATATAGGCAATAGAAAATTAAACCGCATGGCTTCTGACGACATATTTAGGTCTTATGAGGTGAAGTAACTGGTCTGTGCAAAAACTGAACAGTATTTACAACATTATTTCCTGAAATCCAGAGCCTCAGGCAAACAGTGTGGAGTGATGTAAATAATGTTCAGTTTCTTGCACAGACTGATCATTTTGCTTTTTAAGAACTAAAAAGAATATATCGCCAGGAACCACAGGTATTCATTTTGTTTTCCTTGATAGGCTTTTTTTGACGCTCAAGGGCCGGTAGCCATTGACTTGCATAATATGAATCACCAAGGACCACAGTTTCAGCTAAAAATCTTCCTTACTGTTCTACTGAAGAAAAAAAAGTCACCTACATCTTAGTCGGAGGGTGAGTAAATTAACCGCCAATTTTCATTTTTAGGTGAACTATCCAATTAAAGTAGCGTGTGGTTTCTCATTGTCAGCTCACCTGGGAAGTGGACATGGATATGTGGAAGAACTTCCCTCTGCCTCCTTGTGGAACGGCTCGGGTGAAGAAGAACCTGTATCCGTCTCTGGAGAACAGCGGGGGTTCGTTCTGCAGAGAGATTCAAGTCTTCCCATCAGCGAACACATCCCACACACCGTACGTGTCTCCGCTCTGAGACGCAGTGTGATGTGTGACTCACCTGTCTGTGAAGCCAGCTGTCACTCTCATCTTCATGTTTCTGAAAACACACCGACAGATTCGTTTTTTTCTCGGTATGTCTACCATTGTGCGACAAAATCCTTTATTCACAACCGAAGCAGTGACTAATCTTTTCTTTCATTGAATTGACGTGCATTTTAATACATTTGGATGTAACAATAGGCGCTGTCACCCTAACAGCCTTTTCCGGAAAATTAAAGGTCATGATGTAATTCTCAGTCTTAATGACTTTGCTATTATTATGGACAATAGTGATAATTAAGTGTGTGTGCTAGTGTATATCAGAAGGTACCTTTGTGCAGATGCCTGTTGTGGCCTCACACAAGGTCAGGATGGAGTTGTTCTGCGCTCGGTTCAGCCAGTTTACTGCTAGTTTGGTGCTGGTTGCCCACTTCACCATGGTGATGTAGTAATCTTTCCTGCAGAGAGAAGCTGGTTAAATAGAGTCTGTGTAAATTTTTTTGTGAGTAAATGTGTTTAATAAAAAAAGCTTTGGGCAAAATGGATTTTGTTCATTAGCTTAAAGGGATAGTTCACCCAAAAATGAAAATGTGATGTTTATCTGCTTACCCCCGGGGCATCCAAGATGTAGGTGACTTTGTTTCTTCAGTAGAACATAAACAAAGATTTTTAACTCAAACCATTGCAGTCTGTCAGTCATATAATGGCAGTCAATAGCTCCACGGCTTTGAGAGTCAAAATCATACACAGACAAAACCAAATTAAACCCTGCGGCTCGTGGCGATACATTGAGGTCTTAAGACACGAAACGATCGGTCTGTGCAAGAAACATATCATTTTTTTACCTCTGATCCACCGCAATGTCCAACTGTCCTGAGCGCGTTCACAACATCCGGCGCGTGACGTCAAATAAATACGGTCGGGCAAAAAATCCCACGTTGTCTGATGATATATCAAAATCGTCTTCCATTGTGATGACCTGTACTTCTAAATATCTTTAGATCATCGCAGTGCCAGTGAACACGTCTGCAATCTCTCTGCACTGTGTAAATAATGAGTGACGTATACTTAGAAACAGTCACTAATGAGGCATCTACTTATATATATATCTATGTCTACTATGCCAGAGCCGGATGTTGAGAATGTGCTCAGGAAAGTTGGACATTGCGGTGGATCAGAGGTAAAAAAATTATATAAATACTGTTCAGTTTCTTGCACAGACCGATCGTTTTGTGTTTTAAGACCTCAATGTATCATCACAAGCCGCAGGGTTTAATTTGGTTTTGTCTGTATGCTTTTTTTTGACTCTCAAAGCCGTGGAGCCCATTGACTTCCATTATATGACTGACAGACTGCAACGGTTTGAGTTAAAAATCTTCGTTTGTGTTCTACTGAAGAAACAAAGTCACCTACATCTTGGATGCCCTGGGGGTAAGCAGATACACATCACATTTTCATTTTGGGGTGAACTATCCCTTTAATTAAAAAAATGCTCCTTAAAGCCATTTAAGCCATTCTTCTGTCGAGTAATGCAGTCCATTAGTCTGACTGTAGCCTGTTTACAGAGTTAAAGTATTACAATATCGTTCAAAAGGTTAGGGTAAGTATTTTTTTAAATAAATTATGCTTTTATTCAGCAAGGACACATGAAATTAATCAAAAGTGACAGTAAAGAGATTTTATAATGTTACAAAAGATTTCTGTTTCAAATAAAATACTCTTTTGAACTCTTTTTCATCAATGAATCCTAAAAAAAATATATCATAGTTTCTAAAAAATATTAAGCAGCACAACATTGATAATAAGAAATGTTTCTTGAGCAGCAAATCAGCATATTAGAATATTTTCTGAAGGATCATGTGACACTGAAGACTGGAGTAACGATGCTTTGCATCACAGGAATAAATTACTTTTTTAAAATGTCTTTATTGTCTTGGTGAGCATAAGAGACTTCTTGAATAAACATGAATATGAAACTTACTGACCCCAAACATCTGAATTGGTAGTGTAAAATTATTTAGAAAAGTGAAGTTAGTTTTTAAAGGCTCTAGTTTAATTTGTTGGATGCTGACATTGAATATTTTAAATACTCCTCTAACTCCCCTAAAGTAGAAGATAAAGTTAGTAATCGAATAAGCATGTTGTTGTGTGGTCACTGGCAGCTCTTCACCTGATCCTGGGGTCCTCTGGTTTCCTCATCCTCACTGTGTGTAAAGGGCCGTTCAGACTCACCACTGACAAATAGATATCAGGGTTCTCCTCCCCGGCCTACAGAGACAGCAGAGATTTTGTAACTGGAGTATCTCCTTCTCCTCCTCCTCCGATGGGACCCTTAGGGATAGTTCACCCAAAAATGACAATTCTGTCATCTTTTACTCACCTTTAAGTTGTTCCAAACCTGTCAGAGTTTTTTTCTTCTGTTCAACACAAAATCAGATATTTTGAAGAATGTTGGGAAATAAACAGTTGCTGGTAGCCATCGACTTCCACTGTGAGGAAAAAATACTATGGAAATCAATGGGTCACCAGCAACCGTTTGTTTACTAACATTCTTCAAAATATCTTCTTTTGTGTTCAACAGAAGAAAGAAACTTATACAGATTAGAAACAACTTCGGTGAGTAAAAGATGACAGAATTTTCATTTTTGGGTGAAATATCCCTTTAAACGGCATGATTCTAGAATACAAACACATACATAATTTGTGCAAACAATTTTTATCTGGTCCATTAAATTTCAACTGGTAAAGCGCTAGCAAAGCTCATGGGTTCCATTCCCAATGTAGGCTATACTTTGAGTGCACTGTAAGCTGCTTTTGGAAAAATCTGTCTGGCAAATGAATAAATGTAAATTAGGTATGTTGTGTAAAAAGAGACACATGCAGATGGACAGTTATTGCTTGGCATGACTGTTAAGAAACCTGATTTAGTTATATCACTACAGTGCTTAAAGTGTCAGTTCACACAAACATGAAAAATCTTTCATCATTTACTCACCTTCATGTCATTTCACCAAAAATGTTTTCATTCATTGTCAAAATGAATATTTTTAATATTCTCTCATCATTTTTGTATCCATTCATTGAAGCAGAAGCTCAACTGTGTGTGTTTTATGCATGAGGAGCAATGAGGTTTGTTCTTGTGCGTCAAGCAATCATGATTGAGCTTCTGTTGACCATATCTGATGTGCTCTATGTATGTGAATAACATAATCAAATAAATAAATCTAATCTGTTTATCATATAAAGTGATCAGGTCTTGGATTAAACCACTTGATTCATATGGATTACTTTTATAATGTCTTTATTTACTTTTTTCAAGCTTGATTTTGGTCAAATTCCAATGGATGAAAAAACGAAAACAATGACAGAATATGAAAAATATCTTCATTTGTGTTCTGAAGATGAATGAAAGCCTTATAGCTGGGAAAGACCTGATGACAGATTTTTCATTTTTGGGTGCACTGTCCCTTTAAATGCACTCAATACAACAGCAGCCATCAGATCCCATTTCAAGGTTACAGTGACACAACTAAGACTTGGTTTGATCATAAAAAGAAGCTGCAGAGATTTACTTTAGGGTAGCGGTACTCCTGTCCGCTGGGATACAGCGCATTTGTGAACATGGGTATCTCCATCCTGGGCACCAGAGTGTCATTGATGGTGGCATATGCCAGTCTGAGACCATCTGGTGACCACCAGTGAGCGATGTGACTCTGGAAGATCTCCTCTGTGAACACAAACAAATGAAATGTTAAACACGAAACTGAAGCTTTATACTAAAGGAAGTCTACACTGCACACAAACTAGTGATGTGAGTCCAGTAAAGCTTTGTTGCGTGGTGACCGCATCTCTGTCAGATCCTGATATGCGTTAGAGGATTAAATATCCTTTCAAGCAAACGCGGACAGAGGACACACTGCAAAATACATAACTGCACCATGTGCAAAAACAGCCTTTGTGATTTATCGCATCCATTCTCATCCATCACTCCATAAAGCTGACAGCCGTGAGCTGGAGGAGGAACAGAGAATGTAAAATATGACTGTCTGTAACACTGCAAACTGGACCTCGAGCTAATTAAGACATTATGTAACCTGAACGGCTCATTTGATTTGTTTTGTTTATTTATTCATTTGTTGGTGCATGAATATTCAAACTTTTTTTTTCATAAAAGCAACAATCTACTTATTTATTTAAACAATATTTTGTTCATAAATATAAGCCCTGATGTTTGCAGATGTTCATAGATATGTTGTATAATTATTCTGTTCAAACCTGCATCACCTATGAGCACCTGGGACATTAACTGCTGCACCGTGGCTCCAAAGTCTTTGAGGAATAGTTTTTTCCCCTTAATGTCATTACAAACCCAAATACTTTTCTGTAAAACACCAAAAGAGAAATTAAGCAGGTGTGTGTGTTGTAGGCAGCTTCTATTCTGTCAGTGTTATTTTAGTAAAATGTATATACTTTTATAGAATTTATTTGCTTTTATTTGATGTTTTCTGTTTTATTTTAATTTTAGTTAAAATTTTTGTAACTCTGTAATGTCATTTTAATAGTTTTTTATAGTAATATTTATATATTTGTACTATTTATTTGCTATTATTTTTAGTTTATGTTTTAGTAGCTCTGTAATGTGCTTTTTGTCATTGTCATAGTTCTTTTTAATATTTCTATCCAGCTTTAATTTCATTTTTTTGTTTTAGTACATTTCAGTGCTTCATCTAATTTTATATCAGTATCTAATATGTATATTTTATTTTATTTAACGGGGGTTTTTTTTCCAATTAACAAAAACAATTTTTTATAGTTTTAGGTTTACTTAATAACAACACTGAACAACAAAAGTAGACGAAAGTACCATGAAAACACAATTATTCATTTGATTCATAGTTTCATATTTTCACATAACCATTCACCTTTGTTTAATGGAAAGGAGCAGCTTAAACATTCTTCAAAATATCTTCTTTTACATTCCACGGATGACACAATTTACGTTTTATCCCTTAAAGTTCCTGCTGTGAAGCAATTCTTGCTCTGCCTGTTCTGATTAAATGCCATCTGTCATGAAAGGTGAGACCACAGGATGGCAGCAGCATCTTTTTACAGCAGAGAATAAACAGATGTCATAAGAGCATGTGACTAAGAATAGCCTCATACTGAGATGTTAAAATGTCATTTATTCAAAGCTGAATTGTCAGCAACATTAGTCTTCAGTGTCACCTGATCCTTCAGAAATCATTGTAACATGCTGATTTGGCACTCAAAAAACATTTTTTGTTATTATCAGTGTTGAAAACACCGCATACTATTTGTGAGGAAACCAGGATTCTTTAAAGAAGAGAAAGTCCAAAAGAACAGCATTTATTTGAAACAGAAATCTTTTGTAACATTATAAATGCAATGTAAGGGAATGAGTCCAGGCTGGCAGGGATGTGGATCTACATACAGGTCATTTATTAAACTAACAAAGTGAACTAAAGTCAGGGAACATGAGAAACAAGGAACAGGGCACTTTCAGTCGTGGTATTGAAGGTGGGAGAGAGCGCTGTACATTCACTCCCCCCACCTACAATCCGTGCCGGTACGAGACTCGAACCCACAACCTTTTGGGTTACAAATCCGAATCTCTAACCATTAGGCCACAACTTCCCCGTCACCCTTATAAACTAACCAAGATTTAATAGATGCAGAACTGCTTGCTGTATTTTACTGGCAGAAGAACCAAAGCTCAGCTACACACAGCTGATGAAGAGATGGGATATGATAAATGAGCTGCTGCTGACCTGCTTTACTTCTGCTCATAAGTACAGCTCATCATACACACATGCTGAAAACGGAAAGTCAATATGACCCTGTTTACCTTCTTAATACATGTTGCTGGTCTTATATTGTGAATGATTCATCAGTGATTTAAAAGGGGGAAAAAATACTATTTCATCAAAATGAAATAGTATTTCAAAACTTGCTCTGCCATTAAAATGACTTTCCTTTTCAGCTGTTGTCACCAAGGTCACTTCAGTTTTAACCAGCAGCATTTCACTCTTCCACAATTAATTGCAATTTCCAGTTAATGCCAGATGGATAAAATAGCTACAAAACGACTCTTAAAAAGCTTTCTGTAAGATGTTTTTTTCCCATCATGCAGTATTCCCACACTGCAGCACACAGAGCCAGGGAAATCCGTGTGTGTGAATTTGAGTGTAAGTAAACACTTGATATAACTAATAGAGAACGAAAAAACACAAGTCTAAAAGAACATAATCCTAAGGCAAACAGTATTTTAAGATGAGATGCTACATTAATCATCAGGAATATTAAATATTGTGTATTATTAGTATTTGGTATGTATTATATTAGTTTAATATTAAATTAAATATGATTAAATTCCTGATTGTGGCAGATTATACTTGAACACTGTCTTAAATCACACTATTGCACAATAGATTATAAACAGGTTTAATCCCAATGCTGTTAATACACAAACAGGTCTAATAATATCTGCATTTCATTAACAAGGACTGAATTTTTTTTTTCCAAATTCTATATGACGTATGTTTAGCATTTGCAGTTTGCATGCTTATGATGAAATTAAAATACTGTGGAATGTCACATATCATATCCCAGACTAAGGTATTGAAAGAGTCTGTTGTGAAATGAACTCAGTATGAACGGGTTCAGAGAGACACCAGCATTCATGCTTTGATCTGATTTCCCTACATATTTTTCAGAAAGGGTCCTTAGTGATGAGTATATGAATAGAGACAGTGTAACAGTTAAATGCATTTACAGTAATTATTTTTCTTTGCAATTATACATATCAATAATAACATCAATTGTTATTATTATAAATAATTTAGCAAAGTAATTGAACTAAAATAAAACAAAGCAAACAAACAAATGATCCTGTTCAAAAATTACACGTATTGTTTATATAATATTGCATGTTGCATAAGTATAAAAGTTATTATTATTATTATATCAATGTATTTATGTGTAAACTGAGTTATTATTTTGACAATATTTAAATATCGGATATGTCAGTTTTCATCAGGAGGTTCTAAAAAACTAAACACATCAGACACTCACAATCACTTCTGCTCTTTTATTACATGCACACACTCCTCTGTGTTTTTTATTATTATTCATGCTTATGGGTTTTACCTTCATAGAGCCAGTCAGCAAGTCCATTAAATACGACTCCCAGACTGCCTGTGGACACCAGGCGGATTGATGGATGCTTTGATCTGATTTCCCTACATATTTTTCAGAAAGGGTCCTTAGTGATGAGTATATGAATAGAGACAGTGTAACAGTTAAATGCATTTACAGTAATTATTTTTCTTTGCAATTATACATATCAATAATAACATCAATTGTTATTATTATAAGTAATTTAGCAAAGTAATTGAATTAAAATAAAACAAAGCAAACAAACAAATTATCCTGTTCAAAGATTACACGTATTGTTTATATAATATTGCATGTTGCATAAGTATAAAAGTTATTATTATTATTATTATTATTATATCAATGTATTTATGCGTAAATTGAGTTATTATTTTGACAATATTTAAATATCGGATATGTCCGTTTTCATCAGGAGGTTCTAAAAAACTAAACACATCAGACACTCACAATCACTTCTGCTCTTTTATTACATGCACACACTCCTCTGAGTTTTTTATTATTATTCATGCTTATGGGTTTTACCTTCATAGAGCCAGTCAGCAAGTCCATTAAATACGACTCCCAGACTGCCTGTGGACACCAGGCGGATTGAAGAACTGTTCACTTGCGCTTTGTAGTAGATGTTATTCTCAAAGATGAACATCTGTCAGGAAAGAAGAACTAATGATTGTAGGAAACACCATGTCAAACCAGACAAAAAAAGTAACTCCTGAACCTGAAAGATTTTATGGCACATTATTTTTCTCTATAGGGAAATTGAATTAGCAATAATGTATACAACATTCAAGACAGATCTACCATGATCTCTGAGATTGTTAAGTGATAGTATATACTTCAAGTATGATGATGTCAGCTAAAAAATAATCCCGGGTGAAAAACTACACTACCCATAATCCCTCAAGAGAGATCGACCAATCAGAAAGTTGCTCTTACTTTAGAAACAGACATACAAAAGAGCTCACAGCAAATGCTAATGAAACAGTGTGAATGACATAACTGACCTGGTCGCCCTACACTCTCAAACTATTGATATATTTCTGAATATTTTACAATAGGTTTCAAATATATTGTATCTTACACATTAAAGCATTACAGTCATGGATTTATATTACGAGAGCAGTTCATTTCCTCATGCAAGAATGTAAGTACACAGTCTTTTTATTTAGGTTTTCAAATGTTGTAATGTGTAGGTTCAATGCTTCAAAATATTAAATGGAGAATTTTTGACATGCATATGAAGACAACAAAGGGAAAAATACTTCCAGAAAAAATGTGGTCACTGTTGTGCTTTGTAGGACAAATGAACATGCCTGCACTTTGGATGATTAAAAGCCCATTCAAAGTTCATTCAACAGTAAACTATTTGGCTGCATACTGAAATGGAGGGGGAAAAAGAATTTAAATGATCAATTTACACTAAATTTGAATATATGTGTGTTGTAACATCTCACACATCTCTAGTGAATATCCAAGATGTTGTGTGATGCTACAGTAATCAGGGTAGGTGGCAGACTGTCTGCAGGATGTCTGACAGCTCCGGGAGAGTTTGTGTGTGTGTGTGTGTGTGTGTGTGTGTACGTTTTTGTGACATATGAGGACACAAATTTGTATAATGACATGGGTATGACAGGTATTACAATGAGAAGGTGACTTATGAGGACATTACCCCATGTCCCCATTTTTCAAAATGCTTATAAATCATACAGATTGTTTTTTTGAGAAAGTAAAAATGCACAAAGTTTCCTGTAAGGGGTAGGGTTGGTGTAGGGCAATAGCACATACAGTTTGTACAGTATAAAAACCATTATGCCTATGGAATGTCCCCACAATTCACAAAAACAAACGTGTGTGTGTGTGTGTGTGTGTATGTGAAAAGCTCTGGGGTTTTTTTTCCAATTAACAAAAACAATTTTTTATAGTTTTAGGTTTACTTAATAACAACACTGAACAACAAAAGTAGACGAAAGTACCATGAAAACACAATTATTCATTTGATTCATAGTTTCATATTTTCACATAACCATTCACCTTTGTTTAATGGAAAGGAGCAGCTTAAACATTCTTCAAAATATCTTCTTTTACATTCCACGGATGACACAATTTACGTTTTATCCCTTAAAGTTCCTGCTGTGAAGCAATTCTTGCTCTGCCTGTTCTGATTAAATGCCATCTGTCATGAAAGGTGAGACCACAGGATGGCAGCAGCATCTTTTTACAGCAGAGAATAAACAGATGTCATAAGAGCATGTGACTAAGAATAGCCTCATACTGAGATGTTAAAATGTCATTTATTCAAAGCTGAATTGTCAGCAACATTAGTCTTCAGTGTCACCTGATCCTTCAGAAATCATTGTAACATGCTGATTTGGCACTCAAAAAACATTTTTTGTTATTATCAGTGTTGAAAACACCGCATACTATTTGTGAGGAAACCAGGATTCTTTAAAGAAGAGAAAGTCCAAAAGAACAGCATTTATTTGAAACAGAAATCTTTTGTAACATTATAAATGCAATGTAAGGGAATGAGTCCAGGCTGGCAGGGATGTGGATCTACATACAGGTCATTTATTAAACTAACAAAGTGAACTAAAGTCAGGGAACATGAGAAACAAGGAACAGGGCACTTTCAGTCGTGGTATTGAAGGTGGGAGAGAGCGCTGTACATTCACTCCCCCCACCTACAATCCGTGCCGGTACGAGACTCGAACCCACAACCTTTTGGGTTACAAATCCGAATCTCTAACCATTAGGCCACAACTTCCCCGTCACCCTTATAAACTAACCAAGATTTAATAGATGCAGAACTGCTTGCTGTATTTTACTGGCAGAAGAACCAAAGCTCAGCTACACACAGCTGATGAAGAGATGGGATATGATAAATGAGCTGCTGCTGACCTGCTTTACTTCTGCTCATAAGTACAGCTCATCATACACACATGCTGAAAACGGAAAGTCAATATGACCCTGTTTACCTTCTTAATACATGTTGCTGGTCTTATATTGTGAATGATTCATCAGTGATTTAAAAGGGGGAAAAAATACTATTTCATCAAAATGAAATAGTATTTCAAAACTTGCTCTGCCATTAAAATGACTTTCCTTTTCAGCTGTTGTCACCAAGGTCACTTCAGTTTTAACCAGCAGCATTTCACTCTTCCACAATTAATTGCAATTTCCAGTTAATGCCAGATGGATAAAATAGCTACAAAACGACTCTTAAAAAGCTTTCTGTAAGATGTTTTTTTCCCATCATGCAGTATTCCCACACTGCAGCACACAGAGCCAGGGAAATCCGTGTGTGTGAATTTGAGTGTAAGTAAACACTTGATATAACTAATAGAGAACGAAAAAACACAAGTCTAAAAGAACATAATCCTAAGGCAAACAGTATTTTAAGATGAGATGCTACATTAATCATCAGGAATATTAAATATTGTGTATTATTAGTATTTGGTATGTATTATATTAGTTTAATATTAAATTAAATATGATTAAATTCCTGATTGTGGCAGATTATACTTGAACACTGTCTTAAATCACACTATTGCACAATAGATTATAAACAGGTTTAATCCCAATGCTGTTAATACACAAACAGGTCTAATAATATCTGCATTTCATTAACAAGGACTGAATTTTTTTTTTCCAAATTCTATATGACGTATGTTTAGCATTTGCAGTTTGCATGCTTATGATGAAATTAAAATACTGTGGAATGTCACATATCATATCCCAGACTAAGGTATTGAAAGAGTCTGTTGTGAAATGAACTCAGTATGAACGGGTTCAGAGAGACACCAGCATTCATGCTTTGATCTGATTTCCCTACATATTTTTCAGAAAGGGTCCTTAGTGATGAGTATATGAATAGAGACAGTGTAACAGTTAAATGCATTTACAGTAATTATTTTTCTTTGCAATTATACATATCAATAATAACATCAATTGTTATTATTATAAGTAATTTAGCAAAGTAATTGAATTAAAATAAAACAAAGCAAACAAACAAATTATCCTGTTCAAAGATTACACGTATTGTTTATATAATATTGCATGTTGCATAAGTATAAAAGTTATTATTATTATTATATCAATGTATTTATGTGTAAACTGAGTTATTATTTTGACAATATTTAAATATCGGATATGTCAGTTTTCATCAGGAGGTTCTAAAAAACTAAACACATCAGACACTCACAATCACTTCTGCTCTTTTATTACATGCACACACTCCTCTGAGTTTTTTATTATTATTCATGCTTATGGGTTTTACCTTCATAGAGCCAGTCAGCAAGTCCATTAAATACGACTCCCAGACTGCCTGTGGACACCAGGCGGATTGAAGAACTGTTCACTTGCGCTTTGTAGTAGATGTTATTCTCAAAGATGAACATCTGTCAGGAAAGAAGAACTAATGATTGTAGGAAACACCATGTCAAACCAGACAAAAAAAGTAACTCCTGAACCTGAAAGATTTTATGGCACATTATTTTTCTCTATAGGGAAATTGAATTAGCAATAATGTATACAACATTCAAGACAGATCTACCATGATCTCTGAGATTGTTAAGTGATAGTATATACTTCAAGTATGATGATGTCAGCTAAAAAATAATCCCGGGTGAAAAACTACACTACCCATAATCCCTCAAGAGAGATCGACCAATCAGAAAGTTGCTCTTACTTTAGAAACAGACATACAAAAGAGCTCACAGCAAATGCTAATGAAACAGTGTGAATGACATAACTGACCTGGTCGCCCTACACTCTCAAACTATTGATATATTTCTGAATATTTTACAATAGGTTTCAAATATATTGTATCTTACACATTAAAGCATTACAGTCATGGATTTATATTACGAGAGCAGTTCATTTCCTCATGCAAGAATGTAAGTACACAGTCTTTTTATTTAGGTTTTCAAATGTTGTAATGTGTAGGTTCAATGCTTCAAAATATTAAATGGAGAATTTTTGACATGCATATGAAGACAACAAAGGGAAAAATACTTCCAGAAAAAATGTGGTCACTGTTGTGCTTTGTAGGACAAATGAACATGCCTGCACTTTGGATGATTAAAAGCCCATTCAAAGTTCATTCAACAGTAAACTATTTGGCTGCATACTGAAATGGAGGGGGAAAAAGAATTTAAATGATCAATTTACACTAAATTTGAATATATGTGTGTTGTAACATCTCACACATCTCTAGTGAATATCCAAGATGTTGTGTGATGCTACAGTAATCAGGGTAGGTGGCAGACTGTCTGCAGGATGTCTGACAGCTCCGGGAGAGTTTGTGTGTGTGTGTGTGTGTGTGTGTACGTTTTTGTGACATATGAGGACACAAATTTGTATAATGACATGGGTATGACAGGTATTACAATGAGAAGGTGACTTATGAGGACATTACCCCATGTCCCCATTTTTCAAAATGCTTATAAATCATACAGATTGTTTTTTTGAGAAAGTAAAAATGCACAAAGTTTCCTGTAAGGGGTAGGGTTGGTGTAGGGCAATAGCACATACAGTTTGTACAGTATAAAAACCATTATGCCTATGGAATGTCCCCACAATTCACAAAAACAAACGTGTGTGTGTGTGTGTGTGTGTATGTGAAAAGCTCTGGTGGGATTTTTTCAGCAGCTGAATCACATTCTGCCAAAATCACAAAGAGATATGTTGTACTAACTTATGCAAATCAAATAGACCATGTCTGAAGAAAAAGACAAACTCATAAAAACAAGAATGATAATAAACTACAATGTAACAATATTGCATTAAGAGGAGGACAGCTTTACAATGTACCAATTTAAATTCAATTTAGAACAGCACTTTTCATCCGGCACAACAGAGTCACCGGTTCATCCTAACTTCTTTCTTTTGTGTTGGAAACTTTCAAACTTTTCAATGACGGTTTATATGAAATAAATCATTGCAATGATTAATGTGAAAAATTCTTTAACAAATTACAGTCTCTTCTGGCATCATTCCTTCCACAACCAACAATTTTGCCCAAAATACATTTGCTCAAATGTTAGTTGACGCCAAGGAAACAATGTCAATAAAAAGCGTGTTTGATATGACATATGAGATTCAGAATTCTCCTATGATGCATGTGTGTCGACTGCTGAACTGTAGTGGACAAAATTAAATAAACTAGTATGAGTGTGATTGTGAAATGATTGTATTGCTTGCAGTGTGCTTGCATGTATTCGGAGGTCACACATTAGGCCTGTGTATTTTTCTAGTCTAGTTTATTACAATGACCCTTTTACTGCTTGTGGTTGCAACAGAAGCTCAGATAACTGTTAAGAGAAGATGCAACTGCGGCTTTGGAAATGCTGAGGATCGATGATTGTACTGCATTTAGAACCATTAAGAGCATTTTGCAGTGATTAGTATTAAGAAGAACTTCAAGCCTGTGATTGTGTCTTATTACTGCAATGCTCATGAATAGTGGTCTGATTTTGTTTCTGACTAATGGTTGCGTTTGTGCCCTGGTATTTATCTGTTATTGTTATGAATCTCTCTAACCACTGTCATTTACTCTGAGTGTGAGCAGAATGAGAGGTACAGCTCACGAGACAGACAGACAGACAGCAGATAATGGCTCAGTGCTCTGTCATTAATGAATTCACTATGAATCACTGCTTTACTGCTGTAGTCTAATGAGGATGAAAACACATACCACAGGCAGCAAAACAATAAAAAGACAAAAATAAGCTTCAAAAATGTATTTGTGTGACCTGCTCATAGGAGACAACTTCACTGTTCCCAAATCCCAGTGAGCTGCGACATACAGTGGGGAGCATTGTGCATCACAGGTGTGTAGGTTGTAGGGCATCCATCATTTAATCACCCTCAAGATGTTCCAAATCTGTATGAGTCTCTTATGTCTGTGGAACACAAACTTAAAAAAAAAATATTTGACCGTGAAGTGTTTTTAGTGTTACTGTCACAGGTTTGGAATGAGGGTAAATGATGAAAGAATATACATTTTTAGGTGAACTATTTATTTGACTTTATTGTGAAGTTGAGAAAGCTGAAGCTATTTTACAACAACCAATCGAGTGCTGCAGAAAGTCCTAAATCCTGGAAACAAGTTAGCATTTTTTCCTGAAGTCAACAGGTTTTTGGAATTGGTTTTTGATTAAATGCCTGAAATTAGGAAACATTAGCTCAAGATTTTTTTTCACATTTTATCCTGCAGCATAAAAATATCAGTGATACCCCACTCGTAATTTTTTGCTTACAAGTGGCTAAATTGGACTTCAGCAGTTGTCTGGGACTTTAGAAGTCATCATACTGAACAAATAAATGCATGTTCTCAATAATCTGCTTTACAGCATTCCGACAAACTATTCTCAACTTCTGAATTTGAAATAAAGATGAATATATTTGTCAGGTTCTTAATGGTGGTAGTTTGTTTATAGGCTAACTCTAGCTTTTTACCTCTGCCGACTCTATTTAGGCTCCAAAAAGTTGTGTTCATTTGTGTAGATTATCTTGATGAACAAAACATGTAAGAATCCTAAACTTTAGTTGTTCACAGAGCATATTTTCTAAAATAATTCAAAAGCCAATGGAAAACCCCAATTTGGCTTTTTGGCGAGAGAAACAATTTAATGCTAACTTCAGCGTTGGCCTACAAAAATACATCATCCCTGTAGAACTACAGTGGAGACACAGACGAGATGGAAAAGATTCAATTATTATGATGTGTCCCATGCTATAATAACAACATAATAAAGGAAAAAACATTATCGGATTTCTGAAATTGATTTATGCATTGATAATCCATCATTTTGTTCATGATATAATGCATTATGCACTGTTGCAATGCTATTTTGAGCTTTAGAAGGCGGCTGTCTATGTAGACAGCAAGGCGGTTCAGTAGGTTTTGGGACGGAGCCAATGGCATGTGTCTACACTCTGGCCCCCGTCCCGCTGAGTGTACGTTCTCCTCCATCACACCTGTGATGTACAGCGACTCCTCTACATCTCTATCTCTGCTCATCCATGATCCGTCTCGCGCTCTCTCCCCCCCGGAGGAGTCTGGGATGTGACCTTCAGTGTAGGTTCTGGCTGCGCAGACCCCTGCTGATTGCTCTGTCACGGAAACTAATTGCCGGAGGCGCAGGGTGCGGGACAGCATACGGGCGCCCGGAAAATTACACACCTGATGCTCCGCTCACACACACAAACACAAGTGAGCATGTGTGCTTTATTTATAACACACAAAGCAAATACGCATTTGTGTATGATTATGACAATGCAGTGCAGTGCCATACATTTATGAGTTTGTGTTTGCAGGTAAACACTATAACACAAATATTCCAGGCTTGGATTATATTGCACTTCTTGTGTTGACTGATAAGACACTAAAACAACAGACTACTAATACAAACACAGTAATGCTTCTGTGTCTGTGCTTGTCTTGTTCGATATGAACACAGAAGTAGATATTTTGAAGAATGTTGGTAGGAAGTTTTTTTTTTCCATACTATGGAAGTCAATGGCTACCAGCAACTGATTGTTGCCCAGCCTTCTTCAAAATATCTTCTTTTGTGTTCAGCAGAAGAAAGAAACTCATATAGGTTTGGAACAATGTGAGGGTGAGTAAATGATTTGTCAGTTTTGGATGAACTATCCCTTTGAAACATTTAAAAGCTACAGTTAGTTCGGGGTTTCTTTGAATCTCTGACTTTGGGGAAGAGTAACAGTGACTCTTGCCCTTCCAAACGTCACTAATTGAGGCCAGAAAGAAACTAAAATCAGCTCTTTTGAAATGAGGTTGTGTCATGCTGCTTTACTAAAGCTCCTATTTTATCTCGGCCAGCATGAAACAGACACAATCAGGCCGATATGAGCAGCTCACATTTGTTTATTTGCTCCACTTTTTTTTTTTTTTTTTTTAAATATTGAGCAGAATTATATGGACATGTGGGTAGTTAATACAAAACATCAAGCAGTGTGACTTCATGTAAAATTATTGTAAACACTATTTTCTAATTCTAGTATCATTTTTATAATGCTGATTTCAGAAGATACACTATTGTTCAAAAGTTTGGGGATGGTAAATTTTTTTATGTTTTTGAAAGAAGTCTTATGCTCACCAAAGCTGCATTTATTCGACCATATATACAGTAAAAACAATAATATTGTAATAACTATTTTAATATATTTATTCATGTGACAGCAAAGCTGAATTTTCAGCATCATTACTCCAGTCTTCAGTGTCACATGTTTCTTCAGAAATCATTCTAATATGCCGATTTGCTGCTCATTAAACTTGTATTATTGTATTATGTATACTTAGACAATATTTGCATTTTTGAAGTGTAGTAACTTGTACAATATTAAACCAACCTCTTATAACAGTGTTTGTGATTTGTGGTATTTAATTGTAGCTTTGAAGTTTACCTCTATAAACCTCATTTTGTTAGAGACTCATCGGTCTGTGAGTTTGTCATCAGAGTGTGTTTGTGTTTCTCTTACCAGTTGCTGTCCTGTGGGACCCCATCCGGCGTACTGCAGTACGGTGCTCTGCACCTCATTAGGGGTCAGCTCCACTTTCTCTCTGTCAAAAAACAAACCAATCTCAAAGCAGGACAACTTTGTGTGTGTGTTGCTTTGCATTCATGTATGCATTCATGTATGAAATGTATTGTGATTTGACACCAGAGAAGGTCAAATAATGTCATATGTATCTGTTAGAATGACAGAGAGAGTGTAAAAGTGTGTGTGTGAGCTGAATGAGAAAGATGTGTGTGTGTGTGTAGATGTGTAACCTATATGAAGTCTAATGTATTTCACTGAATGCACTTGCGATGTTTAATCGCTACATGTAATTAATAATTTAGATCGGGGGGAGGGAGACAAGTTATATTTGCAGGCATGGACCGCTCTGGGGAAATGATACCAATTCTTAGGAAACACACTAGGTGGCAGTGCTATCCACAATTCAGGTCTCTCTGAAGAGCTCAGGCGAGAGGACAGTAAAAAGCAGTGAGTATGTCATAACAACAAGACTTACGGAGAATCAAGGCTGCAGATGACGTAATAGGCCGTGAAGGAATACTGATAAAGCTGTAGAACAAAGAGAACAGACGAGATGGCCTTTAGAAGCGATCGGTCGCACATCGTGTCATCATCTTTTAGAAAGAGATGTGATGCAACAGATAAGCGGACTCTGCAACAAAAGACTAGAGAATCTGAGTAACAAACAGCTGGATCCTTCACATTATAAATCAGAATACAAAGCATTTACCGGTTCAATATTGTAGGCCGCCAACACATATTTTAGATCAGGAGATACTTGGAGTTTGATCGGTTTGTAGGATCCCTGAAACCGAAGGGGGAAAAAAAAAGGTCATGCATCTTGGATGTGAAGTTACTTTTCTTTAGTAAAAAAAAAATGTTTTGATGTTAATCAAAGTGGTAAGAACCTGGTTTTTGAAACTCTCGAATATCTTGCCCTCTGCCAAAGTCTTGTTGGTTTTGGACAGCACATTGAGTTCCATCACATTGCCGTCAGGGGTACGGTACAGCAGCTCAGTGTCTTTGAAAAAAAAAAAAGTAAAAAAAAAAGAAAGATTATCCTTGACATACATGATATCCTATTAATGTACAGTCAGCTGATCATTATCACAAAATAAACCTAGAGAGAGAGAGAGAACGACGTATTTTATCACTATGAATCGGTTTGTTTTGGGATAATATCTATTAGGCTATTACACAGCTATGTACCAAATTAATAATTAATAATTCACAAACACAAACAGTATATATATGGATAAAATAATGGCCATTATTATATTATTCATGCAGACTACAGTGAAGAAAACTAACAAACATTGCAATTACTTTTCTCTTTACTTCTCTAGGTTGTATATCAGTGCAGTACAAGTTGTGTTCAGTAGTGTTTAGTACAAGTGCTCGGTGAAACGGGTGATGTGTCAGATTTACACAAAGGACAAATCACGGAAGCCGAAAGTTTAGCAGGAGCATCTGTAACCTCAACAGCCCAGTTGTTTGCTATTTTAAGAACGCAAAGAATGGCAAGATCAGTGAAGAAGAATAGTGGTTGAAAACGTGAATGATAGGGCCGCTGAGCACAGGCTAAACAACACAGAACCACTACAGCAAAGGTGAAGTCCCTGTTTCTACAAAAGCTGACCACAGAGATCTTCACAAAGCCAACATCTATGAAAGAGCTGTTATTGCTAAAACTTTAATCACGGACACCTGTCCTAAAATTAGGCCTGTCGCAATAATCAATATATCGACTTATCGAGCAATATATGTACACGACCGCAATAATTTTTGGTGACGCAATATATCGCCCATTATATTTACTCAAAAATGAATGTCACTATGTTTTGTACATTCCACTTGCGCCTGTGTCTTTTGCAGCTTCTCGTACACAACGTGGTGTAGTCATGAGGTGCTAGTTCACATTTAAAAAATGCTTCTACAAAAAAAGTTTCATCTGCAGATATGGTCTTGTTTAGGGATCTGTGCCGTTGTGCACAGATCTGACTGCTAAGTAGGAATTGTGTTTTTCAGCAATAGTGCTGTGCACCCTTAATTTACAGAGAAAAGAAGGTCAGGGAAAAATCTGTAGATGGAAAAATCTCCATACAAGTTCTTTGTGCACTTTTCGTTTTTTCTACTTGGTACTTTGCACTTTTTGTTAGAAAATGTTTATTTACTAGTTATTCAGGTTTTTTAAGGTATCTAATATTTTGATACTTAATATCCATGATCTAAATATTCTTACAAAATTAAAGTTTGTTGTCATTTGGAAGTGTGTTGGCCTTCTTGCATTATTATGCTGTTACATTATGATTATATATTCAGTGGCATAGAATGGTCTTTAAAATGACAATAATATCGCTTATCGCAATTATTTCTGGGGCAATATATCGCACAACAAAAAGTTGTTATCATGACAGGCCTACCTAAAATGCAAAATATAAGGTGAACCTGATCTTCCCTAGCCAAACAAATCACCTGACTTCATTATTATCAAACCACTATAGTTTTGGAGTGAAAAGTGTGAAGCAGATTCCCTCCTCCAAAATCTCCTAAAGCAACTGGCAGATGTTCTGAAAGAACTTTCACGATTGAGCATTCAACTGGAGACTATTCAGAAGTTGTATGGATCTAAGAAAAACTGAATAATGAAAAATTGATGATATTAGTTCTTACTTAATATATAGATATGACATAATATACACTGATGACTGGAGTAAAGGTTGCTGAAATTCAGCTTTGCATCACAGGAATAAATTACATTTTAAAATATATAATAAATATATTAAAATACAAATATATATATTAAAATATATATTACATACATAAAATAATATATTATATATTTTAAAAAATTCACTGTAATTATATTTTTATATTATTGCTTTTACTATAGATATATAATATACAGTAAATAAATATTTTTTAAAGTTGTGTTATTGCTTGTTGCCTTATGTTAAACTACTATCAGTCTACACTCCATACATCATAATGACAAAGCAAAAAAGAAAAGAAAAAAAATTGTTACATATTTATATGAAATAGCAGATCGATAAATAACAATAGGAGTTATGGACAATTGCTTCATTCAGGAGAACAGACAGATAGTTTTACTATTGTGCTTCATGCACATAAAATGGTTTGGGTTTATTTTTACAACCCATATAAATGTATTCATTCATTTCTTTTGAAAAGCCTTTAAAACCCTTTTACAGCTCATTTTAAAGCACTGGCCCAATTGTCCCCGCTTTAAAAGTTCCTGTTTTGCTAAAGCAACTGTGTTCTTTATATATTCAGACTGTAAATGTTATACCTACCTGGTAAACAAGTCTGCTCCAGACCTGAATGCAGATAGCACCCGCCTTGATAAATAATACAGACGAGTGATCGCTTTTAGAAAGGCTCGACGCTGAGTTGTGGAGCATGTCAGAGAGAGAATAATAGGGCTGTTTCTCCGAGGTAAACACAGCCTTAAATCAACAAATGCCTTTTCAGCAGCAGAATAACAAAAAAATGATTAATCAAAAACGCAGATGAAAACATGATTTACATATTTTGCACGGTTTACAAGGTACCAGGCCTGCACCTTTATAACACAAACAAGCACACAAGGACATCCCATTCTTCACCCTGCCAAAATCGATTAAAATTTCAAGCACAGGACAATTAAAGTAATAGCTAAAATAAAGCATCATCAAAAGCCTTAGCATTAGAGACATACACCAGAACAACCTCAGTGAGAACTGCAATGATAGCGTGTGAAAACAGGACAGCAAGCAGAAGGGCTTGGTTATAGTTCCAGTTCTCTGAAGTTCAGTGTTGGTTTAAGTGATTATGCTTTTCTTGCTGTCAGCATGAGCACTGTAGTCTGAGACAGAGCTTTTATTCCAGAACCCTACCATTGATTTGTTCATGTAATAGCTTCCTTTGTGACAAAGAAGTGTGATTAATTGTACTGAATGTGCACTTGTAGTGTATTTCAAAAGTATAATTTTATAAAAAAATATACTTGCAGATAATATAATATTAATGAAAAAGGCCACTTTACTTAAAGAGTAATTATACCTAATTGTACTTTGTTCCCTTGACTATATGAATGAACACACTTTATTACACTTTTAGAAAGTACTCTTTGTATTAATCTCAATTTAAAGTTGTACTTAGTTTAAAGTACATTTTAAATGGTTTTATAATCTTTTGTCATGCTTTACAGAAGTACACTTATTTTGAGGTGTTGACTAACCAACTAAAGTACAAGTGAAGTATTTGATTGTAGTCTTAACTGTGTTATTTAAAATTACATTTAAAGATAATATCTTTTAATTGTACACAATTGCAACTTAATCATTTACTGGATTTATGCTTTGATAATCGTACTGAATATTACCCAGATGTAGTTTTTGATAAAAATGTGATTTTCTCACCTTTTCGCTCAAAATTATGCAATTTTTATGCATTTTAAAAGAATGCTTTAAGTTAGAATAAAACTGATTTTTTTTGTTTAAAAAAAAGTAGAGGCTCTGATCTTTATTGATCTTCATATTCATACAGCAAAATATACTGGAGGCCATGAAATTTTAGGGGAAATCATCAAAATCGCTGGCGGTGGCTGGCATCTTTTTTTAAAAATGCTGGCGGGGTAAGAGTTAATATCCTAATGATTTTTGTCATAAAAGAAAAATCTATCATTTTGACCCATACAATGTATTTTTGGCTATTGCTACAAATATCCCCCAGCGACTTAACACTGCTTTTGTGCTGCAGGGTCACATATAAAAAATTCAGGTTTTTCAGGAGTATATTATATCTAGCAATTCTGACTTTTTTTTTTTTATTCTGAGTTTGCATCTCACAATTCTGACTTGTTTATATCTACAAATCCAGACTTTTTCTCAGAATGCGAATTTTACATCTCACAATTGTTTTTTGTTTCTACCATGAAACTAAAAATAAAAAAGGCAATTGGCAAACTTTGTATCTCCAAATTCTGACTATTTTCTTACAATTGTGAGCATACTGTACATCTCACAATTCTGAGAAAAAATACTTTATCTCAGAATTGTGTGGAAAAAAGACAAAATTGTGATATATAAGCACAGAATTGTGAGAAAATGGCTTGATTGTGAGATAAAATTCACAATTACCTTTTTATTTTTTTTTATTCCATTTAGTTTTCATACTAAACTACTTGAACAAGATTGTCTACCTTGTCAAAAATAAATACCCAGCTAGTAATCCCATTGAGCAAACCATATATGTATCATCTGATGATCATAAATGACCCATTTGAAACAGCTGTAAACCATGTACCAGTCTAAACCAGCTTTTTTTTTTCAGGTATACTGTATGTTCAGCAATGAAAAGTAATACATAGCCCTATCCAAGTTTTGCAGTCAATAAAAGTCAATAAAGTGATGCTGGTTCTGCTCTGCAGTCATTTGCTATAAGTGTATGATGAAAACCCAGAGCCTCTAAACCAACTTGAAAGAATTCAAGCCTGAACAAAGGAAGAGAAGAATAAGCAATGCAGGGGGAGAATATTTCTCCACACTGATCCATATTAAATGGGGATTTTCATCTGAATTACCACAGAGATTGCATTCGATCAGTATGAGGCTTTAGATGCAGATCCTGATGCAGTTTCTCTCTTTGGTGTTATGAGATGATGCAAAAGGTGCTGCATCCACCCACAGCGCTGGCAGCTGAACAACAGGGAGTAAAACTCAACCGCCACTCACCGCTAATCCATGCTACCTCAGGGTCGTGTGCCTGGAGCTTCCCACTGAACATGTCCTCAATCGTGACTTTCTTCTTGGAGGCCAGACTGTCATCATCATCTGTGAGCAGAAGATTTGGACAATATTACAAGACTAGAAAAGAGAAGTTTGTCAAGACAAACTGCTTAATAAAGTTTAAAATAGTTATATATATATACAGTATATATATATAACTGCACTTGCAGATAATATAATATGACAAAAGGCAATTTAAGGTACTAGTTAACTTTAATGACTACTTTTCACGCTTTTTTAAAGTGTGCTTTAATGTTAAATTTTTACCTTAAAGTACATTTAAAGTCATTCTATTTCATAACATTTATTACTTTAAAGTACACTTATACTTGTGTGTTGTCTAACATACTAAAGCACAGGCAAAGTACTTTTAACTGTAGTGTAGTGTAGTGAATATACTAACCTGCAACTGTGACATGTGTAATTGCAAATATAAATACATGACATACAAGTTTCAAGAAATAATATTTAAGTATACAGTAGTTAGTTTACTATAAATGCTTGTCAATATAAAAGACAATACAAATTAAATATAAAGATTAAATTAAATATAAAGATGTACTTTTTTAGTATTTTTAAAAAAGTGGGTTCAATTTAGCGTGAACACTCTAAAGTTGAGAAAATTGCATATATAATATAAATATATTACATAATCCACGTTGATTTAAAAACAATACATACAATACATTCAACAATAAAAGAGTTTGGTGTTTTTCCCCTGGTGGTCTGCCAGCTGAATATGTTTTCTAACCACTGTCCTAGTGTATACCCGCAAACTTGAAATAGCTCCTCCATATTTAAGCACTAAAAAAAAAAAGGTCGTGGAAACATTTTTCACTCAGAAATTCCTAGTATATTTCACAGAAATTGCAATTAACACATTTAATTAAACCATGAAATTTTGAAGCAGAAAGACTGAAAAATAGTAGCCTAAAAAGTAAACTGAGAAATAGTATTTTCTTGCAAAATGTACACCAACTTACACCTTCTTTTTCAGGTGAGCATCTCTCTTTTCCTCAATGATGGCACATTTCAAATTTTGAAAGTAACTCTGGAATTTGTTAAAAACCACCTCCCTCAGGCCCCATAAGACCACCAAATATAAAAAAAATTTAATTGGGAAAACAACAACATTTTTTTAATTTTTATAAATGTATGCATAGCTCCCACCATATTGTCTGGCTTCTGTCCCCTGAGGTCTGGCTTCAGCAAACAACTCCCTCGCTGGTCCACAGGGCCACAGCCAATTACTAGAGCTGACACGAGGTGCAGGGCGAGACTGGGCCTCCCTAGTGTGTCTCATTCTATTCAGAGCTCTATTGATCCGCACATTGATCTAATCAGCCAGAGGTTTTTTGTTATTAGACGACTATACGCTCATCGTTCGTCTCCCTACATAACAAGTATCCATTCAGGATTTTAACACTTTACAACTGGCTTGCAACACTTTGCAAGAGTAGAAGCAAGAAAGGTAAAGTGGAATGACAATCCATTTCTTCATATATCATATGGAATAAATATCACTATAACAGTATTGTTATCCTTAGCTAAAACAAACAAAAAAAAGTAATTCACTTAAAAAAATGATTTGAGTCATGGCAACATACAATATGATCTTCTATTTACTCATCACATTAATTTAACCATTTTATCTTCATCTTAATTTTTTCACAACTTAATAATTGAAGTCAGTTTAATATCATTTAGATTGAAATAACATGTACAGCCAATTTGAGTATACTTAAAAATTTAAGGCAGCAACTGAACTTAAGTTTATAAGTTGAAGTATATGGAAATTTTACGGTAATAAAATATAATGTAAATATTAGATTTAAAACAAACTTAAAAATTGGAAATGTTGTCTGTTGAAGCACTCAAATTTTAATGCATGACATACATTTTTAAAAACATTGAAATCATTTGACGCCATCCTGAACATGAACTGCTCCAGAGAAGATCTGTGTTTTATCTTTAATATGAGAAGTAAACAGCATGGCAAACAACACACAAAAACTACCTGTGATGTTCTGCCAAATGCTTATATGACTATAAACATTACTGTTAAAAATGTATTCTCAATTAGATCTCAGCATGACCTACATTACAGTCCCATTATTCATTAGAGGGATAGCTTTGATCTAAACCAGAAAACTAAATGGATAAGTAAACAATGATAATATGCAATTAGACAGCCCTAAACATGCTTACTAGTATATTTGCATTGTACAATGGGAGTTTATACTAACGATATACACAGATCTAACAAATGCAGGTTTATGTGAAGAAATACACATGTCAGGAATGAGGACACAACTACTTTTTGTTTGCATTTTAGACTTGTACTAATGATTAAGTGTGAGAGGCATGCGGACAGCAGCACGCACTTGGTGAGAGTAGAATGACGGAGGTGACGATCAGAGAGCAGATGGCCAGGATGACCAGCAGGGCGATGGCGATTCCCTTCCAGTTCTTCTGCGGAGGGCTACTGCCAACCAGCTCCTGTCAAACACACAAGCACAGACATGTAAACGCTTAAAGCTCTAAGAATTTTTATGTCAAAATACATTCTCTTAACCCAGTTTATTGTTCATTGACTACTATAAATATGCAATTCGAGAATCTAGGCACCATCAAAACATTTAGAGCGGTCCGCTCAGATCCGTCAATCATCCTAGCTCGACCAATAGCAAGAGTCTGGGGGCGTGGCTACTGTAGCAGGCTGAGCCAGAGGGTGTTAAGCAGGTGTGGGAAGATTACTGAAGTCAAAATTCGAAGACTTGCCAATATACACAGAGACAGACAGCGTTTTTATAAAACTCCGAAATAAATGTAAATAAATATTTACTTAATTGGCCACCGTTTTACTTTTCTTTTAAGTAATGACAATGCATGTGATAAAGGCCAATACAATTTAATTAAGGCAAATGAGATGAAGAAGAACTCATCCACAATATCCACATTGACCGCCACAAATATCCAGCGCCCCCTGCCATCAGCTCCCGCGTCTCACACACACACACACGAGCGCGACTTTAGCACTAGATTTAGCAACTTTCAGACCCTTTTAGCGGCTTTTTTCCATTGAATATTCATACTGACAAACCTAGCGACTTTTTTGGGATAAACCTTAGCTATGGATCAGTTGGAAGATTTCTCCAGTGCTGTCCCGCGACCGCGAGGTCTGACTTTCCCGGAAAAGTGTCACCTCTCTCGGCGTCTGTTCTGTGCAGTGAGCAGCAGAGAAGCAGCGCATTCAGTTACTCAGACACAGGCAGTGCGCTGCATGAGACAAAAAAGCAATCTAGCCAAAACAACCGCATAGCCGCTCTTCAGTGTAGATGCATGTTGATTTTATCAGACGATGCTGTGATTATAAATGAGAGTGACTCCTGGTTAACATGTATTAAAAGGGGTCGTGTTTAGTCACTATTTAGTGTGGTATTTTTTGACAATATTCACTCATCATGACAGTAAAATAGGGCATTCTAAGTCAATATACTGCAGTATTTCCTCTCTCAATCAGTAGAAAATATGGTTAACACCCGGTCATGCATGAAAAAAAAATACCGTCATGTACCGTGAAACCGGTATAATTTTGAAAAATACCGTGATATAAATTTTTGGTCATACCGCCCAGCACTAGAATTTTCAGTTAAGATAAAACTAAAAACATTTTAGTCAAGGTTTAATTTAGGTTATTAACTGTACTAGTACAAATATAGACAACTTTGAAAGATGTTAGTGTTTATTGTGATGTCTTTTCAGAATATGCATCATATTTTCTGTTACAAAACAAAAATACCAGACAAATTAATAAAACCCACAATAATCAAGCAAAATTATACTATTTAAACAATTTATTTTATTTTCTTTCCATGCAAAGGTTTATTTGCTTTTAGACCAACTGAACAATAAAGGTTCAAACCTGAAACTATAATGTTCTATTAGACCAATATAAAAAATAAATTTACAATTTTTTTCTTTTTTTTTTAAACTTAATTTTTTACTTTTCGTTTTCCTTTTTGAAAATCACTGTAACACACTGGGTCTCAGTCAGTGACTGTGCCTAAACATGAATTTGTGAGTGAGTAAATCATGATTCATCAATAACTTTCATACTAACATTTATTCTAAACGCACAAAAAAAATGTAGGAACAACTAAAATTACACATAGACATAATACTCTGGGTGGTTTTATAAATAATCCATGCAATTATAAGTGAATTGAGTGGCCCACTGATTTGAGTGGCTTAGTGCTTTAACGTCTGAGAGTGGGTTTGTAAATTATGCTTTTGGCTTATTTCCGTTTCTTGAGCAGCAAATCAGCATATTAGAATGATTTCTGAAGGATCGTGTGACACTGAAGTCTGCAGTAATGATGCAGTTTTGATCAAAGGAATAAATGACATTTTAAAACATATTCAAATACAAAACAGTTTCTTTACATTCTAATATTTTTTCCACAACATTCCTGTTGCTACTGTACAGTATTTTTGATCAAATAAACACAGCCTTGCGGACCATAAGAGACTTCTTTCAAAAACAAAGCGAGAGAGTGTGTTACTGTTAATCTAATCTTTTAAATAAAATAAACAGTACAGTGCATACACTTATGAAATGAAAGAAGAGTAAGCTATTTCTCATAATTAGCTGGTTTATAACACTGATCATTGTTTTACCAGCTAGTTTCAAGGACCACTTCAAATGTTCCTCATGAAACGTCCCTCTAAAACTGAAGGTTGATTGTCTCCATTACCTCTGCACATGAGATGGCTCGCTGAACAACCTGACAGCTTACATTTCAATTCACAAAGATGAATTCAAAAATACAGCTGCTGAAATATCACCTTGAAAATATTGCTTTTGCTCATACAAACACCAAACCCTAAGTATTAAACACTCGCCACACCTAGACATGAATGATGCCTATGGTGCTCTATTGCTTTTCAAGGTGATCAGACTTGATCAAAACAGACAAACTAATTCACTGTAGGTGGGTTATTTTTACCAAGCAACTGCCTAGAAAAGCCTAGCAACCAAACCAGAATGCTATAAAAGCCACCCAGCATTGTGGCTGTCGTTCCCTCCTTCAGGGAACGAGGGTTACATACGTAACCGAGACGTTTTCTATAGAAAATGTAAAAACATAGTTTAACATCAAATATGAATGAAACAGTTAACAGGTTTGTCAAGTGGTTGAACAAAAGTAGTATGGTCAACAAGCAAATGTACAGTTCACATTTAAATCATATTTCTAAAAAATAGCCTTGACAGTGTTAACATCGAAATAAACCAAGCTGACTTCTTTGCATGTGCGTAACGTCTGTAAATAAGCTTGCATTCTGCTCAATCTCAAAATGAAATGTTTATCTGAATCAAACAAAAGACGCAATGTCAAGGCAAATCAGGCAAGTCATCTTTAATTTTAGAATCCAATATTCTCAACACTAAAGCAACAGCTTCATGCTGAACTCGTCTGAGATAAGAACGCTGTCTGTGATAAATAAAATGAAGCCGTTTGTGTGCTTCGACTTGAAGGGGAGAAATGCAGCATTGTGGCGTTTGCTTGGGCTGGAACTCTCTAGAACAAGGATGTCAATTGCAAAATTTCAACAGCAGCTTAATTAATTAGCAAAATCACAGAATATTACGCATGAGCCAATGTACAAAATTGTACCATCACTGATTGAATCTTTTTATTCCATGCTTTCAGGGTCCATGGGGAAATCAAACTATAAAATGTAGGACATATAGTACTTTTCCTTTGTCATTACATTCACTCACAAGCACAGCTTTAATTTCATGCATCTTCATCCATACATCTCACTCTGCTTTTTAAAGGACTGTGAACACCTTAATCTTGAGCAATTTTGCAGTTTTTCATAGATATTCTTCTGTTTTCCAGCAATCATTCATAGGAAATGAAATACATAATGGCTTGGAATCCATTATTACGGTACTGTATATCCCATTAAAGCAAGGCATGCAGAAGGAATGACGCAGGTCTTAATGAATGGTGTGTTTCAAAGTTATTTCTGCACTACACCTGTGACCCATATGTAACAGCAGGCATCTTAAAAATGGGTTGTATTTTGAGGAGTCACATATTTGATGTACTACTGTAACTTTCAGAACTGAAAAATTCCTCCGTAGTCCAAAAAGAACATTTGTTGACCCCCCCAAAAAACATTTAGCCCTACACACATTGGGTGATCAAAAACTTCCATCAGTACTTTTATGTAGAGATGCACCGATTACAATTTTCTTGGCCGATTCCGATTTCCGATTTTTTTGTTAGTGTGATCTGCCGATACCGATTTTTGCCGATTCCGATTTTCTTTCTAAGAACTATAATTGACAGCATATACAAACAAAAATCTACTTTTCTTCAACGCAAAGTTTTATTTTCATAAAAAAACAAGTAAAAAGTCAGTAATAAAATAAGAACACAAAACAATTGCAAACAACAGCACAAATAAATGCAATAGAATAAAGAGAGCTATGAAACTAAGTTTTTCAGGTTAAGTAAGTTTTTATTCAGGTAAGAAATACTACAGAAATTAAAGTAATCAAATGTAAAATAACACATCCAGTGTTATTTTACATTTGATTACTTGAATTGCTGTAGTCTTTATTGTAAAAATGAAATACAGATTAATGCTTACCATTAAAGTTATAAAACGTATTCAGTCAAGAGCAGAAAGTGATTTTCTTTGTCTTTTGTTCTTTGATTAACATGACAGACAGCAGCAGAAATATTGGACTGCGGTCCCTTTAAGAGTTTATCCACGGACTCCAATATATAGGCCCTGTTTACACCTGGTCATTTCATGCGTTTTCGCTGATCGCATCTGATTTGTTAAAACGTTTCCATTTAAACTTGCCCACATAAATGTGTCGTCGCAAAACGGATATAAATCCGATCTTCAATTCCCGTGCTATATTTAAATTTAACGGAGTTCAC